AAACAGTTGGAGGTGTCGTTCAATTTGGAATACTCGAACTACGTACCAGTGAAAAACATCGGCACTGGCGCCTACGGTGTGGTATGTTCGGCGATCGACCGGATTACCGGACGCAAGGTGGCCATCAAGAAGGTGCCCAATATTTTCGGCACCATAACGGTCACTAAGCAGACTCTGCGAGAGGTGAAAATCTTGCGCCATTTCCACCATCCGAACATCATCGCCGTACTGGACATGCTTCGACTGGGTGACGCCAAAAGCGAAAACATATACATCGTGCTAAACCTGATGGAGACGGACCTGCACCGTATCATCCACTCCGCCCAGCCGTTGACCGATCACCACGTCCGCTTCTTCATGTACCAGATTCTCCGGGCGCTGAAGTACATCCACTCGGCGAACATCATTCATCGGGACTTGAAGCCGTCGAACATCATGGTCAACGCCAACTGCCAGGTGAAGATCGGCGACTTCGGCATGGCCCGCAGCCTGGCACCTGGCAACGACCGAAAAGACCTGTTTATGACACAGTACGTGTCGACTCGGTGGTACCGGGCGCCAGAGATCCTCTTCTCGCTACTCGACTACTCGTATAGCGTCGACGTGTGGTCCGTCGGCTGTATCTTTGGCGAAATCCTGAACCGTCGACAGCTGTTTCCCGGCAAGGACCACGTGAATCAGATCAAGCTGATAATCCACCATCTTGGCACCCCTTCCGACGACTTACTAAATCGCATACCATCGGATATCATCAAACGGGTGATACTCAGCTACGGAACGATCGCTCCGGTCCCCTGGCGCGAACTGGCACCCAACGCTAGCCCCAGCGCCATCGCGCTATTGTCTGTCATGTTGAAGATTTGCCCTTGGGAAAGGACGTCGGTCGAGAAGGCGCTCGGCCACCCGTACCTGAGCGAGTTCAGGGACGAACAGTCGGAGATCACCTGTGAACCGTTCGTGTTGGACGTGGATGTCGAGTGCTTCTCTGCCGACCAGCTCCGGCAGGCGATGCTCGCCGAAGTAGAGGACATGAAAGCGAAACGGCACCCGTTGACTCAGCCTTGTCAGGCGACCCCCGTTCGCAACCACTGCAGCTTGAAGAGCCATTCGCAGGAACACAGTAGTTCGTCGATGGCCGACCATATGCTCAGCGCGAAGATGGAGTCGGCCAAGATAGACGACTCGACCGACAACAATCACAACACAGCCAGCGTTAACGGGTACAAGATGTTCGTCAAGGCGGCCATCATAAATGCGTTGGAGTCAAAGAAGATCAGTAAGGACGACGAACCACATAAGCAGATCACCGCTCAACGCAGGTACTTGGAAAGGGAAGAAAAACGGCGAAAACGGTTTGAGAAGCGTGAGGAGAAGCAGCGAAAAATGAAAGGAGTCGTAGCGGACGTTGCTAAAGAATCCTCACTGACTGAAGAAGATCAAAATCTGCTTGAACGGTGGAACAAGATTCAGCAGAACCGGCCGCAGCACAAACACCAGCAGCAGCAGGACGACCAGGTGGACGGCGGTGGCCAGGCAGATTCCTCCAACGGACTACAGAAGCAACTGGCGGACATAATCTTCGACGCCCTTCCTGAGATGGAATCGGCAAATTCAAGCCCGGCAGGGAGAATGGACAGTGCTCAGTTAATGGAAACGTGGTTACAAGCTACGGACATGAAACCCGAGGAACTTAAAGACTTAGAAAACGATATTTCTATTGTATCATCATAGTAGCGTACCACTGCATGTCAGGTAAATGATCATTTGTTCAATACACTTGTATTACCATTGCATTCATACACGTAATGATTTCTATAATATATTTGCTATATTTGTTTTTTTGCAATCGTTTTACAACTGCCCTCATAAGTCAATAGCCAACTAGGCATACTTGAGCGGTTCTGTTTCAGCTGTATGTGAATTCTATTCAGCACCGTCACTGACAACGAAAACATCTTCATGCATTCATAGCCATCAAGTGGGTCTAGCCTGTGAATGATTGAAGCTATACCTTTAGAGGCACCTGCATCAAGTCGTTAGCAACCCAGTTTAAATCACTGTAAAGCACTAACTAATTCACCCTTAGAACATCTCCCGTACAACATGATCTGTCCCAATGAAGTTATTAAAATTTATAATTGTTCCTTTCGAGTGCCGAGCAGCACCGACTCGAGCACGCAACATATTTGTTAAATATGAGTGCTGGAGTATGCGGCCGTAAAAGCAGTAATGTACCACGTAGACAATTTCACGACAGCAGTAGAACCTGTACAAAATTCGACAGAAAGAAGGTTTTCTACTGTTCTAACGTTTGAAGGACACAAAGGCCAGAAAAAAAGTTTGGGTAAGATGAGCTGTCCATCAAAATTCAAGATCTATTTCCATAAATCAATGGCTACGAAACAAAAATGTACGAGCAATCACGAAATGGGGTTCGAACAAGTGAAATTATTTTGTCCTGGCCCCTTACAGACGTTGAACGATTAGTGTAGGACATGACGAGATGTATTGCGTTGCACTGGAATGGATTAGCAATATGGTATTTGCTGTATTACTCGCCTAAATTCATGCATTTTAGCTGCAGTGAAACACCTATCAGATTCATAATTTTAATATTTCTCTCTGGGGGTCGAATCTCTTCTTCGTTTCCATTTGTCTCATTGCAGAAGACCAGATTATCGTCTAAACACCTAGAAATCAGAAAAGAGACCACACAATCCCTCAGAAAGAACAACCCTTTTGAATCATCTTGGTCCGGTCGCTTACAGACGCTCTTCTTTAGCGTTAATATTTCCATCCTAACGTTCTATTTCCTCGTTTGGTGGTCTGAAGTTTGCCAACAGGCACATCTTCTTCTAATCTGAATCGATCGCTGGTGATTATTCTTCAAGAACGGTCTGAAAGTTATGTCACTCAAGAATCTTGAACAGGAGGCAATGTTTACCTTTTTCAGGAATTGTGCACATCACATGATGACGTTAACACAGAATGAGAGAAATCGAGTTACTGACGCCTCAAACGGTTACGAGTAAAAACTCCTAGGAGAAGGTATGGTACTATTATGGGCACATGGCGTGGTCGGCTACTTTGGCCACAATGTGTAGATACATCTCCATGAAGACTAGCTTACAAGGATGTGATCACAAATGCCTTTGGCCAAGAAATGACGAGTAAACGCCATAGCATGTTAACGGCTTAGCTGAACCTTCTATCTGTACTGTCATTTAATCTACGCTCAGAAAATAAGATAACAAAAGTACCAAGGAACTATGATAAGTACAATCAACAGCACCAAAGCCAAAATCGCTGTCAATCGTTTTACCATTGTCATGGTGAATAGTTTTTGTCACAAGAATCATAATGTTTCCTTCGCGTGTTTGATGATAAAAATATCAG